GCGACAAGACCCCAGTGTCACCCAGTCTCACGGGTGTGAGCTGTGGGGGTCCCGGGGGCCAGAGCCCCCCCGTGGGCAGCATCCCCGTGGGTAGTGCCCCTCGTGGGCAGCGTCCCGCATGGGTGGTACCCCCCATGGGCAAGTCCCCCCCGCCCTGAGCAGCGCCCCGAGTGGGTGGCACCCCCCATAAGCGGCATCTCGGGTGGGTAGCACCCCCCATGAGCAGTACCCCCCGGGGGAAGCACCCCGAGTGGGTAGTATCCCCTATAGGCAGCACCCTCCGTGGGTACCACCCTCAGTGGGCAGCATCTCGGGTGGGTAGGACCCACCGTGAGCAGCACTCCCCGTGGGCAGCACCCTGGGTGGATAGTATCCCCCGTGGGCAGCATCCCCGTGGGGCAGCACCCCTTGTGGGCAGCACCCCGGATGGGTAGTATCCCCCGTGGGCAGCACCCCGCGTGGGCAGCGCCCGGCGCGGCACACCCGCCCCACGGTATGCGGGCAGACCTGCCGGGCAGCGCCCTCCCCTCGGGGGGGGGGACCCTGGGTGCCCGCCCGGCAGGTCCCGGTGTGCGGGGCAGGGTCGGAGGGGTGCAGCCCACCGAGGTGGGGGGGTGGTCACCCACCCAGCACCCTCCTTCATCCCCATCCCGAGCAGAGCAGGGGGGGGTCGGGGTGCCGGATGCCTGGGTCGAGATGAGGGGGTCGGGGTGCCAGACATGTGGGTCCCTTGGTAGAGATGGGGGGGCCAGGGTGCTGGATGTGGGGGTCCCTTGGCACAGATGGGTTAAGCGGCATCTCGGGTGGGTAGCACCCCCCATGAGCAGTACCCCCCGGGGGAAGCACCCCGAGTGGGTAGTATCCCCTATAGGCAGCACCCTCCGTGGGTACCACCCTCAGTGGGCAGCATCTCGGGTGGGTAGGACCCACCGTGAGCAGCACTCCCCGTGGGCAGCACCCTGGGTGGATAGTATCCCCCGTGGGCAGCATCCCCGTGGGGCAGCACCCCTTGTGGGCAGCACCCCGGGTGGGTAGTATCCCCCGTGGGCAGCACCCCGCGTGGGCAGCGCCCGGCGCGGCACACCCGCCCCACGGTATGCGGGCAGACCTGCCGGGCAGCGCCCTCCCCTCGGGGGGGGGG